ATATTAGTATAACACTTTACAGTTTATAAAGCACTTTCACACGCATTATCACAACAGATATATTTTACAATCTTGTGAGATGGTCAAATTAGGCATATCTATTTCCCTCATCTCCCCACCTTTTTTAAAACACAAAAGGATACTTTGATGCTCAAGGAAGAAAAATGACTTGTTCGAGGTCACAATTTAGTAAATACTGAGACAGGACTCAAATCTAAGTCTTCTGATTCCAAACCCAGTGGTCTTTACACTCACACTTTTCATTTACTTGGTTCTAAATGGGGCAATTAACTAGTGGAATTCTCTGTAGTATAGGTTCCTCATTTATGAAAACATGTAGACGGGATAAGGTAATATCTAGGGCAGGAGTTTTTTTAAAAACTTTTTTCACTGTAACCTATTTTAAGAAATAACATTTGATATTGCAATCTATACACATCATACACAAATATAAGACATAATTAAAACAAGAAATGCATGAAACCATACTTCCCTTTACTAGGGGGCCATACAAGCCATTTTCTATCACATTCCATTTCATTAACAAACAAAAAGGAAATGCTGAATGTGACTGACTATATTGATTTTATGACCTAATAATGAGTGACAATCACAGTTTGAAAAAGAAACCTACTGCCAGCTGTAATACTCTAGGATTGCATCTAAAATACAAAAAAGAATATGGTATTACTTACTTGAAGGAAATGAAAGGTAATTCTTTTCATAAAATTGAGAATCTTTCTATGATGTAAATAAGTCATTTTATATACACATACCTTAGTAGCTAGTCAGATTTCTGGCAGTCTCAATTAAAAAATAAACCTTAAAGTTCTGAGTCATTAAAATATCTTTTACATTTATATTCTGCATATTTCCTTTAATGATAAGTTATGTGCATTTTACTGAAACTTAGCATTACAATTCTAACAAAATCTTCCCAGACCAAAACCAGGTAAAATATGACTAAGAGTAACCTGATTTTAAAGGACGAAGAAAGAAATGAATACTACATGAAGCAGATACAGACTACTAAAGCACAACAATCTACAATTTTTTTTTTAATGTGGGGTCATAAGGCCAGACCTCTATGTGGTTAATATGCATGAATTATTTCTACTATTACGTATGCATGTGGTTATAAATGTAAGTTTTAATTATAGATATGCATTTCTCTTTAGATCTGCAAAAGTGTTCCGTTTTTCCTCTTAGGTATACATATACCCCAACGTTTATATTTCTCTATATATGTGCAAAGAAGAATGGAACCAGGAAAATAAAAGCTGCAGAAAAAACAGAAAGTCTACTAAGATCAACACTACTGGTCTCACTGGTAATTTGGGCCATACAGAAGTGTACAGCTAAACTGAAACTGAGTAGAGGTTAATAATGGGGAAGAGTCAACACATTTACTTACTGACCATGAATAACTGTCAAAAACTGAAGTTCCTGATATAAGATTACTTTTTAAAATGTGGCTAATTCTTATTCAGCCTTTAAATCTAAATTAAGATATAAGCATCTATATGACACATCTCAAAAACTCACTTTCTGGATTATATGCCTTTCCTGTGTTCCTATAGTTTTGTGTGTAGAATGTACATACACTCTTCATGAACATAAGGACTTTATTTTTATTACTGTATCCTTACCATTTAGAATAACACATGACATGTATAAGGCATTTAATAAATAACAGCTGTATAAACTAATGAATGGTTTCTGCTCTTTGATCAACTCAGTATAGTTTCACACACCTCCCATCTTTTTCTCTTCTGCTTTGTTCCCCTCACTACCGTGGCTAGAATATAATTCCCCATATCCCTCTTAGGCAAAGTGACGTATAAGGCATTTAATAAATAACAGCTGTATAAACTAATGAATGGTTTCTGCTCTTTGATCAGCTCAGTATAGTTTCACACACCTCCCACCTTTTTCTCTTCTGCTTTGTTCCCCTCACTACCGTGGCTAGAATATAATTCCCCATATCCCTCTTAGGCAAAGTGACATAAGCACCTGTCCCAAGCTGAACCAACCAGAATCTCTCTCCAGATATGAATCTTGACTAGAAATACAGAAAGAGAGAAGGCATCTAGAACTGAGGGATCAAATGATAGCACTGTAGGAACAAGGTTGATGAATTCCTACTTCTGAGATCTGAGGTTCCCTGGTTCTTGTTTTTCCAAAGGCTTGGTTATTTTAACTCGTACAGTTTTTTATTACCCCAGAATCATTCAAATTAATTTACTTTTGGTTCCATTAATTGGTATCTGTTACTAGCAAACCAAAGAGTCCAATAGTGTAACCAAATCCGAAGGTTAAAGTTTTCCCCACTATCTTCTTTTATTTTTACTTTATAAAAACAAAAGTACTTTAAGATACATTTAAGTTAATATATTTAGATTTTATTTATAAAATTACATGTTTGTATATCTTATTGCTGGGTGTAGGTTAGGAATTGCCTAATACATCTTAATCCTTCTCTCAACACTTTTGCCATCAGAGGAAGAATGAAAACTTTTGAGAATACGTATCTTCTCCTTTCTCTATCCCTCTACCAAGGGAAGGATCTCCTGCTCTAATTCCTTGGATGTAAGCAATGGTGGATTAACATTCTTGAGCTCTTCTCGTTCTACTGTTTAAAATTCAGAGGGGCAGAAGAGAAAACCCCATTCTGGCTTCAAGCCCAACCTGCAATCTCTATTCCAACTTTACCTTTAATAAAAGCTGATATTTTGATCCCATTTGGCACAGTTCTTAGTGTTTTTATTAACCAAATCCTGGAACAAAAGAAGGTAAGTGGTAAGACCCAAATACCAAGCCTCATCTTGAAAATCCAATGATAACATACCTAGATCAACAAACACAAAGAATCTAATGAGATTCTTTCATGAGTACATATCCAGTAATAGTATATACCTAACAGGAAAAAGTTCAAAGAATATGCCGTAAACCTACACTTCTCTCTCGAGATTATCAAACATATAAAATGTCAGACCCTGAATCATCACATGACTACAGTGAAGATGTTAATATAAGAAGTAAGGAAACTCTCTTAAAAGGTTTTTTTTTTTTTTGGTGGAAAGAACTACAGGAAGCTTAAGACAAATTGGTTAAAAAACAAAGTCAAGTTTCTTCTTAGTAGTAAGCATCAGTGATTAAACACAGATAATTTATGCTCCACCTACTTCAAAGGGAGAACTGAGGAAATTTACAGTGAGGAAAAGTGCCAAAAAAAAAA